CAAGAAGGATCGATGGAACTCTGAAGAGATCGATTTGTCGTAAGCTGTCATGGAATGCGTTAAAAGTACTCAACGAGTATTTGAAGTATAGCGCAAGGCTCAGCGAAGCGCTCGATTATTTTGTGTTGTATAGATATCTGAATGGTCAACTGACAAATTTCGACAGCTGGGTACCTATTAGTCGAAAACGAAACCTGGTCCGGTCGCTGCCACTCGTATTCGGCGCATATGTAGCACTGATACTGTGGAAGATGAGTCATACATTTTGAGGAAAATCCTAATGGAAAATGGATTTCCACCACGTTTTATAGATAAGAATATACATTCAAAGCCTACAAAACGTGACTTATCAACCGTTCCCAAGAAAATACTTCACATGAGCTTGGAATTCAAAGGGGACTTAGCTTCCGATATCATGAAACGAAGGATATCACAGTCCCTGAAAAGAACATTCCCTGCTGCATCTCTGAGAATAGCCTTTCCTAGCCGACCATTACTGTTCGGTAACCTGAAGGACAAGATCCCGCTGTTGATTAACTCTGTGTGTGTTTGTTTATCAATTCACCTGCTCGTGTGGAGCTAGGTATATCGGTCGTTCGACTCGAGTTTTGTTCAAGAGAGTGCAAGAACACTATCCTGCATGGCTACAAAAAGGTGGAAGTGGAGCAATAAGAAGCGCGATCATTGAACATCTGGTCGATAGTGATCACCCTATCTCTATAGCCTCCGCCTTTAAAGTCATCTACAAGGCAAAGAGTAATTTACCCGAATCCCTACGTATCCGACTCATCTGTATTGCTGAAGCTTTGGCTATCGAAACAAAAAAGCCAGATCTCTGTGTACAGAAAAAGTTCGTTCAACCCCTCCAACTTTCATGGTCTTAATCCCTCTATGCTAAAATATGGTAATCCCCAATCATATTTTAGCTCTACCAATTTTTCATTTTGTCTATTCAATTTGTATACTCTTCCTTATTACGTCAATTGTTATTATTACTATTCTCACTTTGAACTGTCCCCGGTATTATTTCACTTGTTCCACTTGTCATTCCAAATCAATTCTTTTTTATAACGATAAATTCTATGCTATTAAATTTCACACAATATTACGTGACGTTTTTGTTTTATTCGATTTGTCTACTAATCCTATAGTTGCACATCCTTTCTCAAGTTCTATTCATCCTATGAATTATTCTATATATGACATGAATAAATGATAATAGCTTTATTCCAAAACAGTACTTGTGGTACAGAATGGATTTCTCTGCATTTTAGTACAATATTGCATCCAGTTAGTACATTAACAATAAATAAAGTTCTACATAGATTAAGGTAATCTCAGTTTTGACAACAACATATTAGCATGTCGGTAGCAAAGCCAAAATAAACAGTGTTGGAAAATCAGGTTCTAGCATATTTACTGGCGCAAACAGAAGAAAGAAACAAAGCTGCACATAACAGAAAAAGAGATAGATAGAAAAGGAAAAGAAAGAAAACGTTGTACCTATAAATGATATGAGTTGAAAAGACGAGATCCAGTTGTTCTATTGACTTTAATAAGTTAAAGGTTTCACGTCTAATGCTTTCTTTATCGCACAGAACACGAGCTAAGTAGGGTATGGTTGAGTTTTTGTACTTACTAGTGCGAGCGTATAGTTTTCTATACAGGCTTCTGGTTTTGCCTGAAGAGATACAAGGGGAGAGTTGTGAATGAAGAGGGGGTGTGGATTTAGCCCATTTTTTACATGAGTCCAAGTGCCTGTCAACCAGAATATTAACAAGCTGGTTAAGTGGCACGTTGCTTTCCCTGCTGACAACCTTTAACATCCTGCGTAGCCCAGGAAATACTAAGGGGGAACAATAGAGAATAATAGGCAGAATACGGGATTTGACGAATTGTAGGAGTAAGGGTTGGGTTATACCAGAATGTCTTAACTTCTTGATGTAGAAGGTAAGACGGAATATTTTCTTAGAAATCAAGATATGGGACGACCAGGAAAGATCAGCAGATAGAATGAAGCCTAGGTATTTAATTTCTGACTTAGTTTCACTTTCAGTGCCATCAATGTTGCGCATCTCGTGAGTGCTAACCAGTTTGTTTAGGTCAGGTTTGTGCCTAAAGGTGAAATTAACTCTGGCATTTGGAGGGGTTTAAGGTGAGACCACTTTCCTTGGACCATTAGCTAAATTTCTGCTAAAAAGCCGTTTAGTTTAGAGCAGTCACTTTGACATTTGACAGGCAAAGATACAGTCAGGTCGTCAGCGTATTTGACAAAATTAATGTCATTTGAAGATAGCTATTGAAGTCAACTGACCTGACGTTTTCAATATACTTTCAATCATGAGGACTTGTAATTAGAATGAGTGGGTAGTTTCAGAACCTTACAAACAGTTATGATGAGTCTGTGGCTCAGGAGTAGAATGCTCACCAGGTATCCATGTGTTCTGAGATTTAATTCCCGGTAGACGCATCCCCACACCTTTTTTAGTCTATTGGCTGATAGTTATGTGGTGAGAGCAGGCTGCTAGCCAATTGGTAGATATGAATCTACGTCAATGTCTAGGTCACTAATATTCAGCCGTAAGAAAATATAGAAAGGCCGATTCAACAACCAATCACAGCAAACTTAACGTGGGCAAATATGATTCGCAGACAGATGGCTCCACTTTTCGATGTTACCCAAAACAGCCAATCAGAAGCCTGCGTTTGTCTGCTTAACTTCCGAGAGACAACCAATCAGAAGACTGCGTTTGTCTGCTTGCATAAGCTATAATAATGTACAGGAGATATATATAAATTTGTGTTGATTTCCGTAATAAAACGATCTGTTGCCTGGCCCTTGTCTTCTTTTGTTACACAGTGATCTGAGTTTAGTATCGATGATCGCCTACGTGTTTCATATACTCCTTCGTCATTAGTAAAAACTAGATCGAGTGATTTGTCAAGTCGAGTGGGTAATTTGACTATGTTTGTGCGACCAAGTGCTTCAAGAAAGGAGCAATCTGAGGAGTTGAAATCCCCAGTAATAACGGATAGAGAGTTGTCGAAGTTGGCAGCAGCAAACAGATAATTTGCTTTGCCACTTGACATTTAACTATGATTATAATCACAAACATTTTAGTTTTAATTGAACTTCATATTATTAGTATTATTATTGTATGCATTCACACCTAAGATTTAGTTCCCTCACCGGATATAACTTCTTAAAAACCATATATATATATATATATATATATATATATATACGACTGTACAGCTTGATGATAAATTCGTTGAAAAGAATCTCGTCGCTGAATCACTTGTTTTGATTTTGTTTATTCACAATTTGTAATTAGTAGTGTTCTCTGAGCTGATTGGTTTAGTTGTGGAGCTTTCGTCGTGCCTCTGGACAACATCTTCAGCGCAACTAAACCAACCAGCTCTGAAAACACAATTATTAAAAATCATCCGCCTGAGCTACAAATCTTCTCTATTATTATTAGTAATTTCTAATTATTTTCGAAATCCTTTTGTAGCAACAGAAGACAAGGGCTGGCAACAGATCGTTTTATTACGGAAATCAGCACGTATATATATATATAATGTACATTATTATAGCTTATTCAAGCTGACAAACACAGTCTTCTGATTGGTTGCTTCTGGTTTCTCGGAAAGTTAAGCCATATATCTGCGAATCTTATTTGCCCACGTTAAGTTTGCTGTGACCGATTGTTGAATCAGCCTTGTTCATATTTTCTCACGGCCAATATTAGTGACGTAGACATTGACGTAAATCAATGTCTACCAAAAGGCTAGCGGCCTGCTCTCACCACACTTTGATGTTTGTCCCTGAATATCTCCTTACTACCACCGTTGATTGTTTGCGAGAAAACCCAGTTATTCAGTTATATTATTACAGTGATTTGTTATATTTTACCGCTTTAACATTAACATTCGTCTGCATATACCATTTCTCTTCATAATGATTGTTCGACATTTTGTTTCACCGGGAAAAACTAAAATTTATCCACACTGCAACAAAACTATTCACTTTCATCAACTTGGTTGTCTGACTGAGTTTAAACGTGAAACTTTGCACATGAGTGAAGCAGTTCAAGTTCTTACACTCCATATGTAGCACACAAAGGTAGCGAAAAGTGATAGAAATCCCAAATAACGATAATGGGCTGTCAAAGGTACACAACAGGAGGAAGAGTATCGTGGAAAAACATCAAGGTCCAGTGGATGTAGGAGACTACAGAGTGAATGCATCTGTGTGCCACGTGGAAAAGGGGTTTCGAGCCATATCTTTAACAGTAGTCTCCACCCAACTAATTCTTTGAATCTCGAGGTCTAAAACCTGGTAGTCGTCTACACCTCTCCTACATAACCCAAAACAAAAATCAGACTTGATGGATGGATGCGAAGTTTTGATATGACCATCCCTAACACTTTTTAGCAACCTGGTCATATGTCGACTAACATGGTTTGACGAGGAAGGCAATGGCTTTGGACACGAAGCACGTGTGCCTAGTCATCTCGAATGATGAAGCTCTTCACCCAGGTTGTAAGCAGATTCTTTTTTACTACCGCTTTGAATAACATCCTTATTTTTGAAATGATAAACAATGGCATTAGACAAATAATTTAACAAGCTTACTGCCGATGAGTCTCAAAGTAGACTGATGAAACAGCTGCCCAGTATTCCCTGGTTTTTGATGGTTCTCTAACTGATATCAATCCATAGTCTAACCTGAAACAAATAGAATCCCTGAAGACTAATTCTTGAAAAAAAGAAGAGGACTGGAAAGTGGAGTCACTTATGAATATACTTGATTCTCCCAACAGTTAAGGCAATTACAAAGTTAGAAAAACATTTACTTAAAAGCAAATATAATAGGATTTACAAGACCATTGTGGTTAACCAATCAAGAAAGAATGAAACTGATCGACTGACGAAGAGAGATGAAATAAAAATGTTATAAAGAAGATAGATCCGTTTATACTTTCACAACACGTACACACTCACTATCACAGGCATTACTGAATTCAATTTTACAACAGCATTTATGGAATTGAGTAGTAGAATCGAATGATAATCGATCACACAAATAAAGTTGATCAAAGGATTGATTTTCAGCAAAAGAAAAATCCCCTGCAACTTTCATAATCCCTGTTATGCTGAACGGTTTACGAGCAGCGTTAGGCGAAAATCCATGCGATGAAGATGCATTTTGACTATCTCTTTCTTGTCGATACTTAGAATTCAAGAGAGTCATGTGTAGCTTCACAGAATTATCTGGACGGTATGGACCATTGCTTACCAAGTTTTGTTCAGTGAATACATTCAGTAATTCATTAGCAACAGCTTGTAGTCGCTGTGCATCAGGTGATTCAGTTAGCTGTGAAAAACCATGAAGACGATTTCTTTTTTGAAACACAATCAATATTAGCGATTACAAAAAAAAATTAACAGCTTCCCATAATCACGGATCTAAGTAATCTTTGCAAAAGAAAACAGATGACAACAGGGAAAATTATTTAATGAAGGGTAGACGAAGTCCGTCGACAGGCTGTCAGACCATTCATTAGGGTCACCATTAAGGTTACGCGCCAACCTAATCTTCGTTCCGTTTGCCGTTGATAGTTATGGTCAACCAGTGGACAGAGTATATTTCATATTTATTTTCCATTTTAATTATAGCTTGATTCCACAGAGCACTTTTGCTACAAGTATGAAATTTCCAGGATGCTCTATCGTTAGCTCAAATTTCGCGGACCGACCCCAGCTTCTCAGTTGGTTACTTTTTTTTGGACCTGGGATATGTGGGTAAAAACGTAGGCAGTTTCCCGTTCAAATGTGGGCAAAGTGGGATAAAGTGGGCTGTTTTCGTTTGTAACATGGGTAAAGTGGGAAGAAGTGGGCTAGTTGGTCAAGTGACATGGGTAAAGTGGGCAACTATTTTCTGGAGACGTGGGAAATGTGGGAAAATATGGGAAACAGGGGAAACATGGGAAGAATGGGGTGGATTTGTTTTTGTAGCGCAGTCATACTAAGATGGGGAATGCATGAGGTGAGGAACATTTCAGGTTGAATATTATACAATGTGTCTGTAATCATTGTGAAGTGGCATGAAGACAAATGGTGATGATTTCATTTCAATCATTTTGACACGTTTGTTTATGTGAATCCAAACTTAAGTTTGACTTCCGAAGCCGCGATTCCAAATTCCCCGTCCTGCACCCCTGACTAAGTGAGTTAAGTATTTGTAGTAGTCTTTTTTAAGGTAATAAAATGGATACTGAAAGTGAAGTAGTAGCAAGTTGTAGTAATGTGAATACCCCTAGACGTCTTAGAAGTACTTTATTCTCTTTAATATAGCCTTGTGCTTTAGGTTTATTTGTAAAAGAGACAGGCCACCGATCCACATTGTATAGAAGAACTAAGAGATTGAAATAGGAGTTGCTCGGTGACGTAGCCAAGATGATACTTCCCGATTTCAGCGTCGAGGCTGGTGAATGTCTAGTAGATGAAACTTCTTGTAGCGTCGTAAACGTGCAAATTGACATGCAAATCACTTTACCAAGTTGGTTTCTTAGTATTTCATGTGACGACTATTCGATAAGGTAATGCTGCGGGCGCTCTGTTGTCCCATGAGATACGTTCCGATAAGGCAAAAGAACGCAATTCAAAGGCAGAACTTAGGAGGACTGCCTTAAAGCTTATGATGACCACTAAAACATCCATTGTTGATGGTGGAGAGATTATGTGATTGTTCAAACGGCATATTCCAAGATTACCAACAAATATAAGACACATTCTCAAAACTAGCTAGTCATGCCCCTCAACTGTTATTGGTAGTGGAGTTTACTATCATATTGGTTTGCGAAGTATACTTACGCCTATACTGAGTTGTTGGTGTCAGTTTGCATCTTTTGATTGCGTTAATCTGCAGCTGAATGTTGATGGATTGTCATTGTTTAACAATGGTACACAGCAAGTTTGACCAATATTGGGTCGACTGGTGAAACCGTTTCTTAGTGATATATTTCTTATTGGAGTCTATGGTGGTTTTCATAAACCGTCTGACTTCAATAATTTTTTATTGCCAGTTGTAACTGACATGGAGCACTTATATGCACACGGTTTACAAATCAATGAGAGGCATATCGGCTTCCTTTATTACTCCTTTGTCTCACACCTCTTCTCACTGTTTCTATTATGCTTTTCTTGTACTTCTCTTGCTTCGCGTGCTACACGGAATGTGGCGACTTGAACTTCCGCACATTTGTGCAAAGTTCTATGTCGAAAACAGACAGACAGACAGATATCGGCTTCCGGCTTAACAGTGTTATCTGCGATAAGCTTGCAAGATCTGGCATCACTTTTACAGCGAGTCACAACAGTAGGAAAGGTTGTGACAGATGTTGCGTTACTGGCAACTATGTAAACCGGCGTATGGTATTTAAGGATGTTAACAGCTGTCGCAGGACACACAATAGCTTTAGGAGTAAGGAAGATGCCGATTACCACCGTGATACATCAGTATTTGAGAGACTTCCAATTGATATGGTTAAGATTTTTCCATTAGATTATATGCATTTAGTCTGCTTAGGTGTTGTTAGGCGGCAATTGGGTATATGGTTGCGTTTGGCAAAACAACGCCAATTCGGATTGAGCAATGAAACAATTGCTTGTATTAACGAAAGGCTACAGGCTGCAGAAAGCTGCATTCCTAAGCACTTCCAAAGGAAGTTTCGCAGCTTGGAGTTTCTTCAGTTTTGGAAGGCCACTGAATGCCGGCTATTTCTTATGTATTTGGGCCCAATTGTATTACATGACCTATTACCCTCTCCACTATACGCAAACTTCCTCAGATTGTTCACGAGTGTCTACATTTTATGTCATCCTCGTTACCACCTTAAATTGTGCGACACCGTAAAACAACAGCTCAGGCAGTATGTACTATGTTTCGACAGCCTCTACCCTGAAGAGTTGGTTTACAATGTGCATGCTCTCCAGCATTTAGCTGAGGACGTCTCTGAACACGGTTGTCTGGATACCTTTTCAGCCTTCCCGTATGAGTCACATTTGTGCCAAATCAAGGGAAGGGTGAGGAGTGGCTTCAGGGTAGCAAAAGAAGTAGCCTCTCGAGAAGTCGAAAGATTCGTGTTTGCAAGCTCTACAAATGCAGGTAAGTCACCTGCTGAGCTAACCCCGCCATGCGTTACAGTTGATTTAGCAAAGGGGTCATTTTGTGTTAGCAAGATTTACTATTCAACTGTTTCGCCTGACCGATTCGTAGTAGTAAATGGAGTACCTGGGATTATCTGTGGTGTGGGTGAGGGCAATGTATTCAAATTCAGACCTTGTTTGGATAAGCAACCATTTTTTAACAAGCCTTTCGAATCAACGAAGCTTGATATATACAAATCAGGCCAGTTCTCAGGCGACACTGAATGGGTTGCAATTAACACAATTAAATATAAATGCATTGCAATACCCACAAATCACTTCAACGTTTTCATCCCAATGCCTCACACATCGGCTAGATAAGCTGTTGCCATTGTTAATTTGTGTTGTTCCATTGGCGTCGGTTGCAGTTAATGTGGTTCATAGGTAAGAGCCGACATGATCGACAAAGTGGGTTGGGTTTGCTAGCATATCAGTTTGAGTTTAGACTCTCTATACATTCCAGTAGGAGAATTTTAAGGTATTTCGTTATTCATTCACTAATGTACCGTTCCTTTCAGAATAAATGGGCAAATGCCGTATTGCACTGATCGATGGGAAAAATGAGGCAGTGATATGCCGAAGCTCTTGGTTTCTTGGACCTAAGCTTGTTGTCTGCAGCCAAGACAATTGGGATAATGCCTATGAGGAGGAAGATGGAGAATTGTGAGGTGATTTTTGAGACAGGTTAGTCGTATCGACACTTAACTATTTATCCAGATGACTTGCAAGAGGCGCTCGCAAAGCACAAGGCCCTTCAGAGAACATATAGCACTGCCAATTGCAGTCAGTCGTCCAAGTCGACTGTAGTTTGCACGCAAAAGCGTCAAAAAACGTAAGCATCGTTTCATACTTGATTGAATAAATAGAGCACCGAAAAATGACGTTTTCGTAAGTAACGACTACCCATCTGACCTGATGGACAAGCAGTGCAATGTCTTCAAACACCCCGATTACGCAGACCTCGATAGCAGTGCATGTGATTCAAAAAAGAATATTACCTCACTCAGCCAGAAGTAAAGCTGGTGAAGAGGAAAGGTTGGGCATGGGGCTAGCAACCCCATCCTGTAAAATTAAACACTGCTACAGAAACTTCAAATAACTAGCTTCAAGCCCTATGTTCCACTGGGGATGTGGGGGAAAAATTCTTTTATTTATTAATTCTGAAATAATTCTAGCATCCTAAAATAAGTAAATTCTGAATTTCTTCGGAAATGAATTGTTCAATGCCACAGACTAGAACTCAGTGCTAGTTTTCAGCATAACTAGCGCTAATTCAGCACCGTATTCTTTTTTTAAGCATTGTCAGGAGTAGATCAGAACCTACTCGGTTTGCTTATCAGCTTTATTTCAGCCCTTTCAGATCATTTTCAGCACTGACTCGCATCACTTTAGGACGAAAAGACTTCTACTTATTATCATCACCTGTGTCCTACGCCCGCGCAATTCAGAAAGAAATCTATTTTTACAATTGAGAGACTTTTGTACTTATAAACTGTAGTACAATGTCACTGCAATCCCGTCAAGTGCGATCCACTGGTAGCGTCCTGGAAATAAGCAAAATAAAATATTAGTGGGTGAAAAATTGTGCTGAGCACATTCTAAGCATATACATTTATAAAAGTTTACTTACATAAGTGCCACTGTTATATCCCCTGGTATCTTTTTCATTTGCCTAAAAATGAAAACAATGTTGTGATTACTACATGTTGAATAAACGTTCACTTTATAAAAGTAAGCAGGCGTTTCGCAATATTACCTGAATTCCTTGCTTCCGCTTACACCTTTGGACACGATCTTTCAAATTATGAAAGTACGATTTCGTGGCCCTATCCATCATGTCACCAATCTCTCTCGTCGTCATTAGTTGGCCGGAGAAGTGCGACATAATTAAACCTAGAGAACTAATTACTTCATTAATGAAACTTACATCTCATTGTTTTATAAAAGGCATAAGGCACAATGCTTGACTTTGTCAAAGTCCCCTGGAATGTAAACTTCAAACCCACTTCAGGTTTTATAACATGGTGCATCATGACCTTAAGTGATAACTTTGGATCACTCTGAAGGCAGCTAGCTAGCCATCTTAGCAGTCTATAAGAAATAAGAATTAAATATGTCAACTCACATATTGCTGTTTGTACTTTTCGTCTCTTAAAGATGCTTCCA